GCTCCCTGCCACAAGATGCTGTCCATGCAGTTGGTTATGATAAATGGCCTGTAATTGTGAATCTGATATTGGTTTTCAATATTAAATTTATCATTCTGTCCTCTTAACAGATATTAAATACTTTTAAGAATGTATACATTTGCCTGATCCATCTGTGATTTTTCAATATGTAAAATTTATTAGTTTCCTAGTTTTTTGAGATTTTAACAGCCGACAACATCATTAATAATGCTGAGTAATGGAGCTGACCTCTTTTAAACCTCGTTCCCTTCCACTAATTCAGAACATCCAAATTGAATCAAAATGTATTTGCTTTAGGGACCCAAAAAGAAAACGATCAGTAGGGTATCTGATTGAAAGGCAGCTCCCCCAGGATGGGCATCCTCTGGCCTTTTCACCTCTGAGCCCCTGGCTGAGGGAGCCAGGCTGAGGCTGCCTCCTCCCATTGGATGAGCCAGCTTGGGCAGCCTGCCACTCCCTCAGCTGCCTCAGTTTCTTTAGTGCGGAGTGATTGATGATAATAATAATACTGCTTGTCTGGCTCCCTCACGGAGTGCGCTCTGTGAATTAATGGAAGCGTGCGGGCTCTGCACTGGAAGAGCCCCCTCCCGGAGGGCTCCCTGCTGCCCTGGAACTCTATTCAAGCTTGGCTAGTAAGGTTTCCTGCCCTTCCCTGTTGGGATAGTGCAAAGGAAGGCTGAAAGAAATCCGGATGCTGAAAGAGAAACAAGGCTGTGTGAAACACCGACAACAAAACAGGACTTGCCCTGCCCCTTAGCCCTGTGTTTAAGGCCACCCCTGCATGTTGCCACCAGAACAGCATGAAGCTAGCTCAGGGTCAGAATTTGTGCCTTTTCTGGGTTTGTCATTGCTGGGTTTTGTAGAGCCTACCAGGCTATATCTCATGGTTCCTACAGAATCCACTGTGTCTAAAACGAATCATGCTTAGTCCCTTTCCAAGTTGACACTGAGAAGCAAAAAGGCCTATAGAACTGAGCTCTCAAGGTCAGGGATCATGCTGACCACCAACCGCAGAAGTCCTTTCACTGGGGCCCAGAAGGGGCTGGAACCAGTGCTGTGCACACAGGCCCTGTGCCTCATGACAGGCCTTAGGAGAGATGGAGAGCACACTTAGGGACCCAGAGGGTCACCTTCTCAAGCTACTGCAGATAAGCAGCCCCCTGCAGCCTCCAACCTGTGGATAATTGAAAAATAACGGCCTTTTCTTCCCGAGGCCTAATTTCATATTCTGGCAGCAGCCTGATTGACTTTCAGTCCAATGCAAACCAGCTTCTGTGGAAGTTTTATCTATTTAAGGATTATGGGCTGAGATCAAACCTATCAGAAGAAACTGGGAGCTGTCGATAGGGTCACTGAGAGGTGAAAAGTTTCCAAAGGACCCCTGAGTCAAGGGGAAACTTCTTTTTTACCGAAAGCCAGAGGGCCACCTGGTTCCAGACCTGGCCTACTTGCCTAGATCAGATAAATTACCCCAGTGGAGACCAGAAGCCAAGTCTCCAAACTCCGTATGCAGTGCTTTTCTGCCCTGCCAGCATATGATTCACAAACTGTTACAAAGGAAGATAGATCGTCCCCAAGTCACAAGCATTCCAGAACCTTTTGTAGACTCAGCTTTTACTCCCCAGGCCTCTTGCTATCCTTTTCATACAAATGGCTAGCCACCTCTCAAACCCATCCCTCAAAGCTGACGGTAATTTTAACCTGGCAAATGTTTATTGAGTACCTACAAGTATCTAAGATGCTTAGCGCTAGGCCAACTGCAATGGAGATACAAAAAAATAATGTAAATGCAGTCTCTACCCTCAGGTAGGATTAGTAATGGCACTGCATTTAATAATCAATTATTAAACACTCACTGCATGCTGGCTGCTGCAAAGGCACAGGAAAAAGAATCATACTTAGTCCCTTCCCAAGGAGCTCACCTTATGAGAGAGAGAGAAGATCGTCACATACAACTCATGACAGTTTGTAGTAAAATATAAAGTTGTGTGGCTGAGCAATGAGTACAAAAGAGCTGGGCAGGATCCACGTAGGAAATAATAGAGTAAACCTCATGGAGAAGGAGGCAGCAGAAATAGGCATGAGAAATGGATGGGATGGGGACAGGCAGAGAGGACAAAATAGACTGTGTGTGTGTGTGTGTGTGTGTGTGTGTGTGTGTGTGTGTTCGCGTACTCAGGAATTACTATCTTTATTATTCAGCCCTTCAAATCTCTGCCCACACATTCAGGCACTTTCCCACACATATATGACAAGGGACAACAAATGTTCCTGGAGCACCTTCCTCATGCCAGGAGGCATCCTTCTCTTGCACTCATTATCATATGCATCTTTCTCAACCACCCCACCAAGTAGATATGATGATCCCCTTTTATGGGAGAAGACCCCCCAAGCTCAGTGGGAAAATCATTTGCCCAAGATGGCAGCACCAGTATTGGCCAGGCTGGGATTCAAACCTTGGTCTTGGCACCAGCGCTCATAATCCTTTTCCACTGAATCACATGGACTCTAGAGAGTGGCAGTCCTCCAGAAGGCCATGCTAGATGAGAATCTAGAAGGAAGAGGGCAGAAAGGAAAATGGCTCGATGACTGTCCTTCTAAGCATGACCAGGCCAGGTGCTAGGAATGACAGGAAACAGTCACAGGAGATCATTCACCTGTAGAGGCAGCCCCTCCAGCATCCCCTGGGACATTTCTGGGAGCTGACATCCCAACTCTTATTTCCCACCATGATGTGACTCCGTCCCCTTGAGGCTACAGGGCTCTCTCCTGCAGCAGCTGGAGCCCCCTGAAGGCTCCTCGCCCTTCATCCAGGGCAAGGCAAGCTTAGTTAGGTTTGGTGCCCAGAGAAGGGCTATCTCTTAGCTGTGTCCTCTGCTAAGGGGCGTGAAAGGAAAAGAAAACATCTCACTGAAAATACATATCGTTTCAGCACTTAAATGGGTCCTGTTTTAAACCAAGATCAGTGTAATTAAAATTATAAGACAATAAGACCACAGGATATCCCCTCACCGTTCTTAATTAGGTGCAAGGTAAGAAAAAAGAAATTCTGGTATAGCTTATTTAAAAGACATAATCCTGACATGGGACCAAAAAAGACAACAATTAAAATGAAGGCCTCATTCTTGTTTTTTAAAAGGCTCTCTGTAGACAGAGGGGTCTGATTGGCAGACAAGACACATGAGGGGCATGTGCTCATTCTCAGAGTGACTGTTCTGAAGATGACGACGCAGGAAGCTCTGGTCTACAGGACCTCTTTTCTACAGTCCCGGAGTCAGTCCAAGATGGAAGAACAGGAAAAATACCAGGGTGTCAGGATCAGTGGCAAGGAACCCTAGCCTTGGTACATTAACATCAAATACAAGAAGTGGTTAAATCTCTTAACCACGGGCATGCCGGAGGTGAGGCTTCCACATTACTATTGTCCTCATCAGTATTGTCCTCATCATGATGGCTGCTGCTATTAACATTTATCTGCACCAGCATTGGACTTAGCACAGCAGAGCATCAATGAAGGTGCCGCTCCTGCTTTGAAAATAAACACCTACGCCTCCCTCCTGGTTTTTGCCCCAGCGGGGTGAACCAGCCTTCAGCAACACAGGAATACTCCACCCTCCCTCTGCCCCATGATGCTGTCTCTTCCCTTTCCCTGAGCAACTTCATGTCTCTGGATCTGCTTGGTGCTCCGGGGCCCTGTCTGGGTTGCTTGGCCCCACACTGGCCTCTGTGGCCAAAGTCAGGGCTTAAAGAACAGACTAAGGGCAGAAGCAGACATAGACAACCAGGGCCGAGATGGAGCTAGAACAGGCAGGGAGCGTGCAGGAAAGAAAGCACAGTATTTTCTTAGGACTGGCATGTGAATCAAATTAACACTTCACTGAAGGTCAGCATCCTACTGCTCCAGTCCTTTCATTTGCCTTACCACTTCATTCTGCAATCTCCTGCTTTACAATTCCTTGCATACACTTTAAACATCAAGACCCACCACACTACAGTGAATTTTATCTTTGCAAGACTTTGGAACCCGAAAGCATTGCCAAGTGTCCATGGCCATCTAAGAATTGTACAAATATTATATATACACATCAGTTCCTCAAGCAAAAGTCCCACTTTCCACTGCCAAATGTTATTTTTTATAGCAGGTCTGCCAGATGAGTGAAGGCGTATATTTCATCAGTGAGCCACTTTTTATAGAGTGGAAAAAAAAAAAAGCCCCCAACACTTTTATTGCTTTTTAACCAACAGGATTTCTGAATGCAAATGAATGAATCACCTTTGTAACGATTGGCTGCCTGAGTTTCCTTGTCACACACAGAACAGGCACCGTGGATGTGACTTGTATCTTCATGAGTCCAGGGAAAGATAAAAGACTGACATTGCTACCGGTGAATTATGAGATTTGTCTTTATCAGTGACAATAAGGTCATAACTGAGCCCAGCCACTGCTTATTATATTTGTGTGCCATCTACTTTTTTGTATAATGTAATCCAGGCGCACCTGGGTAAGCTGGAGTAGCCCAGTGTATAAATTAGCCATTTTATAAAGCTGCATTAAGTCTTTAGGGCCACCAGGGTACCTTTTAATGCATTGATGCCACTCTTCAATAGACACCAGTCTTCCTTTCTTTTGACCTGCATTTCAATGACAATCTGGTCGAAAAGGGTAGCTAGAAGGACTCTCCTACATAATTTAAAGGTAGAAAGAAAAAAATAATATGGAGAACAATTGAGAGCCTGTGTGTGTGTGTGTGTCTCAGTGGTTGCGTGTCGATCTATGAACCAGGAGGTCACTGTTCAATTCCTGGTCAGGGCATATGCCCAGGTTGCCAGATCCATCCCCAGTGGGGTCATGCAGGAGGCAGCCAATCAGTGATTCTCTCTCATCATTGATGTTTCTATCTCTCTCTCCCTTCCACTCTGAAATAAATTTTTTAAAAAAATATGTATGCAAATAACCCATGTATTCATTCACTCATTCATTCATTCAATACATTTTTATTGAAAATCTAATTGTACCAGACATTGTCCTAAGCGTGGGGAACAGTAAACAAAACAATGTCCTGTCCTTGTGGAGCTTACACCCAACGGGACAGATAGACAATAAACAAGCACATACATGATTTATACATATTTTACACATACACATCTATAATGAGATGAGTATAATAGTAGATTCTGGATCCCAACTGCCTTGGTTCAATCCTGCTTCTGTCAATTACTAGCGGCAGAATCTTCGGGAAGTTATATACCATCTGGTGTCTCAGTTTTCTCATCTGTAAAATGGAGATAATAACGATACCTAATTCACAAGGTTGTTATTAAGATCAATTATGTAAAGTATTTAGTGTTTAGACCAGGCACCTAGTCTGTATTATATGTGTGTGCCATTAATATAAATTCCCTACTTACCAGGTAGAGATAAATAACAAATCAAAAATAAAGATATTGAGAGGATGAGGGTACTATTTTAAACTGGGTGGTGGGGGAAGGCATCTCAGAAGGAGGGGACATTTGAACTGAGACTTGAATGAGGCGACAGTACAAGCCATGCTAGTTACCAATGAAGTGCATTTTAGGCAGAGAAAATGGCAAGTAGAAAATCCCTGCAGTAGGACAATGCTTGGTGTGACAAAGAGCATCAAGATGCTAAGAATGGCTAAAGCAGAGGAGGGGGAAGAAGGACTGGAGATGAGACTGGTGACATGGCCATGGATTGATTCCTTGTAGGCCATAGTCAGGGTCTTGAATATTATTCTAAAAGTAATGAGAAGCCAATGGAAGGTTTTGAGAAGGGAGTGACAAAATTTGTTTGAAAATCTTCTGGGTATGTAGGACCCTCAACAAATTAAAAATCATGCCTGGCCAGTGTGACTCAGTGGTTGAGTTTTGACCTATGAAGCAGGAGGTCATGATTCGACTCCCAGTCAGGGCACATGTCTGGGTTTCAGGCTCAATCCCCAATAGGGGTATGCAGGAGGCAGCCAATCAATGATTCTCTCTCATCATTTACTAGAGGCCCGGTGCACAAAATTCGTGCACTCGTGTGTGTGTGGGGGGGGGCGGCCTCAGCCCAGCCTGCACCCTCTCACAGTTTGTGGCAGCACTAAAGATGTCTGACTGATGGCTTAAGCCCGCTCCCCGAGGGCTCCTGAACTGCAAGAGGGCACAGGCCGGGCTGAGGGACTCCCCCTGCCAAGTGCACGAATTTTGTGCACCAGGCCTCTAGTATATTTTATTTAAAAAAAACATAACAAATATTGTACGATTCCATTTCTACAAGGAACCTAGAGAGTCAAATTCTTAGAAACAGAAAGAAAAGTGGTTATCAGGAGCTGAAGGGAGGAGGATATGAGGAGTTGTTTTGCAAGATGAAAAGAGTTCTGGAGATTGTATAACAATATGGATGTAACACCACTAACTGTACACTTAAAAATGGTTTAAAAATGGTTAAGATGGTGAGTTTATGTTAGTTTTCTTTTACCACAATTTAAAAATATATATATTCTGTATGGGAAATAGACTGGTGGCAAGTAAGACTGAAAGCAAAGGAGCCTAGATGTTAGTTATCTATCACTACATAGCAAACCAACCCCAAACTTAGTGGCTGAAAACAACAACCATTTCATTATCTCTCATGATTCTGTGAGTCAACTGGGCTCAGCTGGGTGGTTCTTTTACTCCATGTGATACAGTTTGGGCTGTAGTCCTAGGAGGGTGCAACTGGCTGAAATGTCCATGATGCTCACTCACATACCTAGCACCTTCGTGGGACAGTGAAGAGGTTGGGTTGAGCTGGGGCACTGACTGCTGGGCCTCTCTCACTCCGTGCAGTCTCTGGGCCGCTCCCTCTTCACGTGGCCTCTCCAAGTGGTCTCTTCACTTAGTCCCTCCAGAAGAGTAACTGGATTTCTTAGAGGTGGCTCAGGGCTCTCATGAAATGCACAGAATCACATCATCCACCTTCTGCTAATTAAACTACTCACAGAGCAGCTGAAATTCAACACTGCAGAACCACATGACTACAGGAGGCCCGGTTCATTGGAGGCCATCTTTGGAGACTAGCCTTACAGAATTGCTGCAGAAATCCAGGTGAGAAAGGCAAATGCTTAGACCAGGATAACAGCAGTAGAGGGAGTGAGAAATGCTTGATTTGGAATAAGATTTGCTGATGGCTTAGACATGGGGTAAGAAAAAGAAAAGGGAGTCAAGGATGAGTCTAAGTTTTTGGTCAAGGCAACTAAATGAGTGGTGTTGTCATTAATCAGCTAGCAAAGTGTCACCAAGAGAGTGGGTTTGGAGTCTTGGAGTCAAATCCCACCTCTTTTGTTTATCACCATATTATCTTGGTAACTCATTTTCTCTGGGCTTCTACTTCCTGATCAGGAAGATATAAATAATAATACCTGCTCACCCAGCTTGTAAGGTCATCATGGAATCAAATGAAATCTTGTAGAGGGTGGGGCAAACATAGGTTTACAGTTGTTCATATGGAAAAATAATACAGTAATTAATGAATAATAATACAAGAATAAACTCTTTCATGTACTCACAACTGCAAACCTACTTTGCCCGACCCTGTATGTAAAAGCAATTGTCTTGCGTTTGTTATAAAATGCAGTGGCCGCCGAAACCGGTTTGGCTCAGTGGATGGAGCGTCGGCCTGCGGACTGAGAGGTCCCAGGTTCGATTCCGGTCAAGGGCACGTACCTTGGTTGCGGGCACATCCCCAGTGGGGAGTGTGCAGGAGGCAGCTGGTCGGTGTTTCTCTCTCATCGATGTTTCTAACTCTCTATCTCTCTCCTTTCCTCTCTGTAAAAACTCAATAAAATATATTTTTTAAAAAATAATAAAATGCAGTGGCCGGAGGAAAACCACACACCTTGAAATCAGGAAATCTGGTCTCAGTTCCAGGTCCATCTTAGACTTGCTGTAAGAACTTAGGCAAGTCATTTAGCCTTGCTTTGTTTCCTTATAAAAATAAGGCCATAAGATCTGCATTCCCTGTACCAAAAGCATTTTTGGAGAGTCAATCACAGAACATGTAGAGCATTTTGGGGTGTTTGTTGTTGTTGTTTATCAGATAAAGTTTATTTAGAAAGTCACAGAGGAAGAAGACGTGAGCAGTAGAAGAAACGGGCTCAGGAAACAAGTTATAGAGGCAAAAGAAGAGCCCTGGAGCTTAGGAGAGAGAAAGGTAAAGGTAAGGCGCCTCGGGGGAAGAAGGGAGGAAGGGAAAGGTGTGGGCGTGCTCCCAGGAGGGAGAGCATGCTAAAGCATTTTTGAAAAGTTATAATATAGCAAATGGAAGGTATTATTATTACATCACTAATTACAGATCCAATATCAAGGCTTGGAGGGGAAAAAGCAACAACGATAGGGTGGAGTCTATAAAAATCCCCCCTTTCTCATGTGACCCAGGGGTTCCAGGCTTGGCTTAAGGAACAACCAGGGGAGAATACCATTCAGAGCTGCTGTAAAACACAACCCATAATTGCAAGTCAATCATACACATGGCAATAGAGTTGTGAGTTATTCACAATAATGGAATACAGATAACAAGCTTATATTTGTAGCCCTTTGACTCTGAGGCAAACTCTTTTGTTGCTTGGTGTGCTTTTCAATGCACTGGAAAACGAGAGGGTGAAAGCCGCAGGTCACATCCTGGAAGCAAGGAAACAGCAGCACCTGAAGGAAGAAAGGCCCAAATAAACATCTCTCTTCAAAGGCGAGTGTGTGACATCTGGGGCCAAGCCAGGTTCTGGAACTCAGACCAAGGACAGCAGGACAAGAACTCCAATGTCCCCAGTGGTCACAGAGAGCCTCTAAGGTCTCGTCTGAAAGACACCCACACACTGGCATTCAATTTATTCTCTGCAGAAGAATAAAAGACTGAGTCAATACTGCGAGGAAATAAACTTGGGTTCTGACTGAGTCGGAGCGGATGGTTTAAACACTAACCCGGCCCCTTCAGGCAGGGGAGCACATACACGCTGAAGGACGTGGAAAGCAGTCATCGCCTCTTGAAAAGAGTGCTTCTGTTTTCATTATCATTTAAGGCTGTAGTCGGCGTTGAGCGATAATAAGAAGCAGGCATGGGGGGAAAAAGCACCCAACTCACAGACATACACAATAAAAATGCTATTATAGACTTTTGTGAATATAAATAGTTTTTAAAATGAGGCTGCTAAGACTGGCATCTTAGATGCTCCCTGAAAAAGAGTCATGTTTATATATTCCAAGTTGCACCCGTCACCAGTCTCAGCTTTCGACCACAAAATGGACTGGGTAATTTTGGGGTGAATGAATATCAATGCAGGCTGGTTGTGTTTGGCAAAGAAGGGAGATGCAGATCAAAGTGAAAGGAACACAAAGGGCGGAGAAAAAGCACTTGATGCCCAACAGGGGAAAACTGAAAACAAAGGGATAGGAAAAATAAAAAGGAATAAGGACGTGTTTACTCAGAATCCTGTTAAATAATGCACCCTCTGTTGTACCTAAGTACAGGCTTCATTTGGAGATTTTTGTCTTGGCATTCAACAACAATCCCAAAGAGTCGGGTGCCAACTTCTTTGCCTCCCCCAATTCTGACAAAAGCATTGCAGTAATTAATGAGTATTCAATAGAAGCATAATAATATCGCTGCTGGCATTTCTTTTAACAGAGTTACTCCATACATACATGAGCTCGTAAACCTCAAGGGGAACTAGTTGAAAGGGGGCGGGGGGCACATTGTAACTCCATTGTGAAGGTCAAGCTCAATTTGAGCAAGGTAAAATAAGCATAAGGAAGGACTTCAATGGTGGAGCGTGGTAAACCCTGAAAGCATAGTCAAAAGAGCTTGCTGAGCTCTGGCTGGTGTGGCTCAGTCGTTAAAGCATTGGCCTGCGCACCGAAAGGTGGTAGGTTTGATTCCCAGTCAAGGGCAAGTGCCTGAGTGGCAGGTTTTTCCCCTGGCCCTGGTTGGACAAGGGCCTCATGTGAAAGGCAACAAGTCGAAGTGTCTCTCTCACATCAATGTTATCAATGTTTCCCTCTCTCCCTCTTCCCCTCCTTTCCACTCTCTCTAAAAAATCAATGGGGAAAAAATATCCTCAGGTGAGGATTTAAAAAAAGAGAAGCTTGTTGAATTTCAGAGGTGTGGGCTTCCTGAAGACAGAGATATAGACTAGAGTAACTACTACATATCTTTCAAGTCGTTCAATTATAAAACACTCAACCAGGCAAGGATGTGTGATGGGTGGTCTACCAGATCGGAGACTACTGACCACCAGCT